CATAAACACAATACCGGACCCGGGTTCATTAAAACGCGCATTCCCTGGTATCTACGAACAAGCGACAACCCTCATGAACATGGGCATACCCGCCGACCAAATCATCGAAACCCACCCCAACATCGCCGCACTCTGGGACGAAGACGTATACAACAACTCCGGCATACTCACCAAATGGGCAGTCGGCATGGTGCACGGCGTATACATGAAGGGTAACATCTCACCGGGCCTTCCCCCCAAGGAAATACGTCATCGCTAACAAACCCCCCACAGGTAACACCTTCTCCTGCTTCGGCTCCATGTACCTCTTCTGGTACCTAATGCGCTGGATGATCTCCCCCAGCCCAGAAACCTACAACGCAATCCCCGAATGGTTCCGCCCTACCCCCAACCAACTCTTCATGCCGCACATCAACATCGTCGACTTCATCGTCTGGCCCGCTTTCCGCGAACTCGTTACCCAGATCCCTGCTATGCAGGAGCGCATGGAGTGGCTCATGGATATGAGTTTGAACATCCAGTGCGACTGGAGCTTTGCGACGGACCAGGCGCTGTGTAGCAATGAAGAGACGGGCCAGGTGGATCTGTGCGATGCCGCGAGGGATGTGGTCAGGGAGTTGGCGAGTTGGAGCCTGGGACCGAGTTTCAGGGGGTATGTTAGTAATGCGGATAGTTATGTGAGGATTAGGACGGAGGGGTATTGAAGAAATTCGTGGTGTTGGACGGGAAGATCGAGAGAGATCGACACGAATTACGTTATGCAGAAGGGTTGGCGACGGTAGGACGAATTGGCCCTGAATCGCTAAGCACGGCACGGCTGCGGGGCAGTTTTTTTTTTTCGCGATCGAGTGTGCCGCGGAGATGTCCGCGGAGATGAATGCTGTAGTGGGACGGGCCGGAACCTTGGCAACCCGATGGGCGAATGGGGCGGACCACTTGTTGTTGTTAATAGCGAAGCATATTACACGGAGTTGCTTTTAGTGAAATGGTCGCGTTGAATGAGAAGCTTATGGGGCGACCCGGCGACGATATACGGAGTACGATAGACGAAGAATCGAGGGATTGAAGTGCACTCTGCTCTTTATTTGTTGGCTTCTGTGTGGTCGGGATGTGCTGCGTCTCTTGTGCTATATGCTGTGTCATGTATTCTGTACTTAAGTCCACGGCAGTTTGCGTGAGAATCAAGGCTTATGACGTGCTCACTGACACGAAATTGTCACCGAGGAACTCACTCGTATATTATCGCAACGCTCGAGTTCCAAATGAATGTAATGTATTGAGCATACCAGTATTCGTAACCATCGTGTCGCGTTCAGCGTCATGAAAACGTACCCGTCGTGCGCGAATGTGCGCGCTTAGCACCACATGCGAGTACCGTGTCGTGAAAGTAAGGAAAAGAAAATAAGGAAAGACAAGGCACTTTTCCTCCACCGACCATTACCATTGCCATGAAGCATAATTCATCAGCAAACCAGATCGCCACCCATTACCACACTAACCTCTGACCATTACCATCATGCTCATACTCATCGTAGCAACCGTTTGGAAAACACACTGGCATGCCACAGGCGGCAAAACCCTGTACACAACTCTCTTCCAGTATCTCTTACACAAACTCGGCATTATCGTCGTATCATGATCATCGTATCATCAGTGTGGTACAACATCTCGAGTCCTCAGACGACCCAGGGGATGAGACCGTCCCGGTGGTACTTGATGCGGAGGTCCTATAGAGGTCAGTATTTGTGTCGTATTCCTTTCTTACAATTGAGACTTACCTTGTCCATCAACATGTCCTTGACGGCGTTGATCTGCTGCATGTCCAGCGTTGCGAGCTCCTTCTGAGCTGGCGCAACCATGTCCGGGTGGGTTCTACTAGCGACCTTGCGGTAGGCGAGGTTGATACCGATGGAGCTGATCCTCCAGTTCTGAATACCGAGCATGTTGTAGGCGAGCATGTTGACCGGGGGCAGGAGGTTGGCTAAGGAAGAAGCACGATCACGGCGAGGACGAAGAGCGCGTGTGGACAGCGGAGGGGGTGGGCCGACCGAGGCGGTGGGACCGAGGGGCGTGGAAGGAGGACCAAGTGGAGTCGTGGGAGGAGTCTCAATGTAAGGCTCGTAGTTCTCAGTGTTCTCCCAGAGAGGGTCGGCAGGCGAGAAGCGGAATGGGGTGTCGGGAAGGCGGGGAGACGGCGAGGGCGTTGAAGCAGTAGAGAAGGTCCTGTCGCGGAGCGGAGTGCGTAAGCTGTTGGTCTTGGACCGCTTGGGTGTCTGAATGGGCCTCGCGACGTCGTTGGCTGCCTCGGTGTCGACGAAGATGGTGAAATCGGGCTTGCGCTTCTTGCTTGGCTTTGTACTCGACTTCTTGGCAACGGGTGCGGAAAGGACAGTGGGTCGAACCGTGAAAGGTGGACGAAGTGCGGAGACTTGAGAACGAGTACGAGGTAGTGGAGGCGCGAGGTTGCCGTTGTTGATGGGGTCTTGACCCTCGATAGAAGGAAGCGGTGTTGCCGCCGCGATCGCGAAGAAATAGTTGTTGACAGAGTCCGACATCTTGACAAGCTCACTGTAGAGCTATAAACCACTGAAGCTCCCACCAAAGCAAAACGCTGAACGCTAAACAGAACAGAACGGTAAAAAAAAAAGAGGGACTTACCTAGAAAACGTAGAACAGAACGGTTGACTCGTCGTCTCCGGAACAGAAGCGAGGGAGTGGCCGAAGAAAGGGAAGACGACTACGGGAACAGCGGCCTTTATAAAGAATGACAAGAAGATGAACGAATACTTCGAAGCTGAATGAGAGTCGTAAGAAGAGAGTATAATCGGAGGTGACCGCGAAGACGAATTTGAACAGGCAGGGTGGGCGCTCGGGCACCGGACCCGAACTCCCGTGGTGAAGCCGACAAGACGCTTACAAAAGCTCACAACGCGTAAAAACGCGTAAAAGGCGCGTATAGGATGTTTCAAAAGCGTTTGTACATCCCTTAAACGGACTTCAGCGCGTCAGAAACAGACGCAGATGACGTACTGATAATCTCGATGCACTGAATGTTGTCTTAATGAGGGAGGAGTCGTAAGGTTCGATGACTCAAAGGGTCAGCTGTGACCATGAGTATGAGGAGATGATGTCTTTCTTTGCGGTACAAGGGTCTCCTGATCAGCTGGAATGTGGGCCGCTTCCTATTCCAGATGTGTAGTACGTTCCTAGGACATGCTACCCAAAGTGAAAGGAAGCCATCTGGCAGTTGTTCGTTGACGAATAACCTGTAATCATTGAGACATCAAGTATGATTACCAATTCGCACTCGGTTCTATGTAGAAGAGGATGTTGTGTCGTTGGTATTGGATGAGTTGTAACTGGCTCGCGATATGCCGATTGCCGCGAACCAGAGGATGGCTACCAAGATATTGCATCGCCAACAATAGACGCACACAACGAGTACCCGATATATGCTGCGAAGCTGTCCATAGCTCAAGGCCGATCAGAGCAGGGCATTCCTTAGTCCAGATGTAATTAGACGTAAGACCTTCGGATGTTTGATGCAGAGTTGACGGATGAGGCAACAGGTGCGATGACAAGAAGGCCGTCGTCCAGTATTGCTGGCGAAATTAACTTGATCGGGATTTGACTCGGGAACGACCATGAAGATCAATTCGTACTATGTGAAAGCCTACGTTGAGCGTTAGCGATGTGTTTAGATCTTGTGCGTGTAGGCTTGAGAAAGAATGACCGAAAGATTGCGAGTATCAGAGATCCGGAGAGATGATGTATCGAGAGGTTAATGATGCGCAGTGGACGAAAGATGGGGGGCGTTGAGTAGAAGAAGACCGTAGCCGGTAGTCTGGTCCTCTATGGTCTCTTACCGTTACCTGTATTCTAATTGAAGTCGACGACCGACGACTTACTGCGACAGATCTCTTTGCTAGGCAAACACCAGTGAAGTTCGTATATATAATAGCAACACCGACAAGCGGTGATGATCGGGCCTCGCATGGCACATCAGGCGTACCTTTTGAAACCACCCAGTGGATACAGAGTAATAAAGAAAGGTGAGTGTTGAGTTCGCTGTGTGTGGATTAGGTATCGAAGTTGTTTATGAAGTATTGTTATCGACGTTTGAAGATGAACCAGAAGAAGGCGGCATGACATGTCCTTGTGGATATGAAGTAAAGTCGGCAAACGATTGTCCTTCCAAGTGCCTTACTTGCAGATGCTCAGTCAAGGTCAGGCGGGGGCTTTCCAGAAGCCCGGTGACTGTTTGTCAAGGTCTGTAAAGTAAGAGATATGTCAGTCAGTGAGTAAACAAACCCACATACGCGAAGAAGTTGCTCTTCATGATGCATCGGCATACCTAGTCCGGAGATGTTCGCAGAAGCACCTGCCGATAGGAGATCGATCTAAGGGGGTTGTGTACCTCCAGGCTACGGTGTAGTCTTGCAAACGACTCATTGGAGCCCAACCATCTCCATGTCGTGGATGATGTACGCGAGAGGCGTGCGAAAAAAGGAGCGCAATTCGTGTCGTTCCTTCGCCGTGATGACTAGATAAAGTCACTGGTGAATGTTCATGTGCATCAGCGGCGGAAGTGAAAAGAAGGTGATTGTTGTTGGAAGGCGCGTTGAAGATCGGACGAAAGCATCGGTGCTTCGGCACTTCGGCCCGACCTCCGGGATGGCAGTCGCGATGAAACATCGCAACATCACGCCCTGACGACGTCACGACACCGCTTCTGATACGTATCTCAGTCGATACCTGCGATGTCACCCATCGTCCCATTGATCCCAATTGATGCTCTACTAACCTAGTACACTAACGTTGTAGCTTCCGTAACAGGAAGTGCCGCGGCTGCTGATGCGGGGAAGAAGCTACTCGCTGCTGAGCCGCTGAGCTCGAGTAAGCGTCAACGAGGCATTACGCGTCCCAATTCTATCATCTCACCCTTTCGACTGAATCTTAGGCCATTCAGCATATTCGTTGGGAAAATCTTCCACGCAAACATGGCTCTTGCTCCGGCTCCGACGCGTCTACGCCAGATTGCACTTGTCGCGAAGGATATCGAACGCGCGAAGCAGCAGCTTGTAGGGCGACGATATGAAGGTCGACACACCGAAAACTGACAGAGATGCCAGACATACGTTCTAGGAACAGAAGTCGTCTTCGAGGATCCAGCTGTCGAGCAATGGGGGTTGAAGAACTTCCTCAGTACGTTCATCGTCTCTTCCCAGCTCCAGCGACTAACATGACTGCAGTACCAATCGGCGGCGACTTCATCGAGGTGGTCTCGCCCATTAAGCCAGGGACGACTGCCGGACGGCTGATCGAGAAGCGCGGTGACGGCGGATACATGATCATCATGCAGACCGAAGACGCGAAGAAGCGATGCGAATACATCGAAGCGAAGAGACTGTCGAGAGTCATCTTTGAGCATAGTTACGCGGATTCGGTGTGCATTCAGTACCATCCAAAGGGCATCAAGGGTACGCTAGGCACCTACCAATTACAAAATTATATGGCTAACGAGGTGACAGGTGGCATGATGCCAGAACTCGATTCCCACGTACCAGGTCCGAAGAATCCTACGCCAGTTCAGACCCGCTTCTCCCCATGGCACGCCTGCGGTTCAGACATCGACCGCTATAGGGCCGGCATGGAGCGGACCGAACACCTTACGCTAGAGGGCTGTGTACTGCGCTTGCAGCCCGGCGACCTTGGCCACGAAGCGGCCGCACGGGAGTGGGAAGCGATATTTGGCGTCGTGCGAAGTCGTGACCTGCTGGCCTTCACAAACGCCAGGCTGGGTTTCATACCAGGGAGACAAGGGCATCCAGAGGGCCTTGTGTCGATCACGATCGGCGTCAAGGGCCAGGATAAATATGATGCAATACTGGAGAGGGCCCGACAGGCGGGCGTTCGTGGGAACGACGGGATCGACATGTGCGGTGTCAAGTGGTACCTTGCCCTGACAGGTCACAGTGCAACTAAGGGGAAGCTGTAGCTCCATGCACCATCACATCGCACAAATTCTGGCCAGAACCCGTTTCACGTTGCTGACTGCATGCAGCGTGCGATACGCTTTGACACTGCGTTGAGCGTGCCACGTACGAAGCCAAGATCTTATCCGAAGACTGTTGAGATAGCCGTAAGCGCCGCCTTCGAGCGTTACGGAGTCGGTACCCCTCCCCCACCGACGTCATCCGTCGAACAAGATGAATTACCTGTCCTTCGCCAGCATGTTTACGAAGGACGCGTCTCGACCTTCGTTCGAGCATTGTTTCATGTTCAAAGAATTTTCATGAGCGAAGCCACGACGCCAAGTTGGCTGGCGTGCGCAGGACAGCAGTTGATGGAGATTACACGCTCCACCCACACCACCCAAGAAGCTTTGGTAAGAGTCCCCCAGCCTGGGCGCAAAGAGCTTCCCATAACACCAAACAGCTGCGCGCATTCTGAAAATTTGCCACTATCCTTCGCTGCTCCGCCTCCCGCTTGCGATCACGATAGGTCCACAGGTGCCTCTGTCGCGGTCTGTGCACTGCACACCCCGCTCGCGGTGACGCCAGGCACTCCCGCGCTCGCGATGGGGACGCGTCTACGCCAATATGGATTATTCCATTACTCCATGCTGCAGTTGCCGTGCGTTTGCAGCGCGGCGAGCGGAAATGAGATCTGAGGCGCAAAAAGCTTCTATGCTTCCATGCTTGGTGGTTGCCTTGCTGTGCACCGCCTCGACTTGAAGTATACTAGCCTGAGTGGCTTACGCTCTTGGTACCACCACGTTCTCATACGACAATTCCCTGTGACGTACAAATCGCGTTTTCCCCAGTTGCTGAATTGCTAAGCTCCCTGCATGGCTGCGCACTCGCCCCTCTACGAGATACCAACGCGCGACTTCAGAAAGGCCGTCCTCATTGCTCCACCTTACGAGGCCATCCTGGTCGCGATCTAAGATCCAAAGCCCTCGGCATCCTTCCGGCATCCTTCCCCTAGCTAGCCCTACGAATTCTCCCCTCATACATCAGTCCCCGCACGGGGCATCGGCTAGCCTTCTTGTGACGATAATGCAGCGTGGGAGGACGAGCAAAGGAGCAATTACACACTTGCGGGCTGGAGGCGCACCACATTGGCTGCCGTTGGGAAGCTCTTCGTTCACGGCTTCGCAGCACCTCTCCATGCATAAAGTCTGCTGTCCCAGCCCTCCTTCGGACGTTTGTTTCACCCCACCGATGATGCGCCTCGACCAGATCGCATTGGACCAAACCGCAATACATACCTTCACACCCTCCGCTGACCACCTTGGGTGGTTCACCCACCTTTCGTCCCACCTCATACAGGACTAGAGGGAGGGCAACACCTCAGCATGTCGCCGCCGATATACCCCAACGATGATGAACGCCTCGAGCATCCCTTGCGCTCCTACATGGGCGCAGGCAAGTCGGCATACAACCTCACTGGCGTAGGGTCGCGTTGTGTCACGGCACCTCCTCCTAATCCTTGGTCGCAGCATGGCTTTCATGTAAGCCATTCTCTGCTTCGTTGCGCGTCTATGACTGACCCCCCTACCAGCTCGATAACACTCCGCCTTCCCAACATCAAGCCAACGACATCCCTCCTACCGTACACGCGCACGCGAACTGTAGCCACGGCCTATCGCTGCAACCCACAGAAGGCTCGGCCAGTCCTGGACATGGTCAGCAGCTGGTCGATACAAACGCACCTGGGCATCTCATCTCTTCCACGCCTGCGTCGCCACCATCGTCCCCTGATGAGGTTCGGTGCAGACAGTGCGATGTGCCATTCACTGGTGACGACATGACGAACAACCTCGCACGACACATACGGACCCAACATCCATCGGCCAACGAGAGCCCTTTGATGTGCAAGAAGTGCAAGGTCGTGTGTACTCGCAATGATGCTCTGTTGAAGCACGAGCGCAAGTGCCAGCCGGGCCTACACGCCGATCCCGTCAAGAGAAAGAAGAACAAAACGGACACTGCTACGACTCCCTCACGCAGAGCCAACAAGAGCTCTACACCTCGTCGCCGACCAGCCAAGAGGCCTACCCCTACCAAGCTCGGCTCGGCACCGCAGACCCCTCAAAACCATGCACCTGCAGCACATCCAACCCAGGCCTCGTATACTCTACCCGACATACAGCAAGTATCAGGTGAGGGTTCACTCGCACACGACTTTTTCAATATCAGGGGCGCTGGAAATGGGCTTTCGATACCATCCCAATCGTACGATCCTGCAGCAGGCGAGGACCAAGCCTTTCAGGAACTTCATAATGATCTTCAGCAAGCCGTAGAAGCGGCACCACTCCACCAAAATGTGTGGCCCTTCCAATTCGGCCAACAGAATCTTGCGCCATACAATGCCGTCCGACGGGAAGGCTGGCCATCGCCTCAGCATTTGTATCCTCTTCGCCCTGCCCATGGTTTCGGGCACCCACTTTCGCCAGTAAATGTAAGCGGCAATCTTGGGTTGACGGATCTGAGTACCCTACAGAGCAACCAACCGTTCGACACCGCCTCTTCATCGTACTTTCCTTCGACACACCTATACACCGGACCTACCTCCATACACGGCTCAGTGGATCCAACCCATCAAAGCCCTCTAGCGTCGCCTTTCTCTTTCTATTCACCATTGCTACCTTCCGCAGCATCACCTTACAACATGCATCAGGACATTCCGTCTGCGCAAGGATCATTGTCCGGGTATCATCACCAGGCTCTTCCGAGGTCTGATGAAAGCTTTGTTCACAGTCAAGAGGATAACGTCTCATTCCTGGATCTGTTCCCATGGTCTCCACCTCCTGGCGAAGATCTAGGGCAGCAAAATCAGAGCGGTCACTAAGCAACGTTTCGTACTACTCTATTCAAAAAACCGAACAGATGCTTTGCAGTCTACATCGGTATTAAAAGGAAAGTTCATGACATCACGAAGGCAATGTAGACTCTTAGGTTCGGTGGCAGGTGTTCATTTTTAGCCCGAAGAGGGTCTTGTATTCTTTTTCGCATCACTTCATTTCATAGACTTCACCTCTTCTTGTATATATTACTTGCTCGATACCCCATCATCAATACATTCTTGCAATCTCAACTCCACATCACCATCTAGCGGCCTTCCAAGTCCACGCATCACATGCTACACTACACCACACTCATAACCCCACCATGCACCAAAAACGACTCAAGATGCTCCCGATCCGGCACAAACAACCCAAACTTGCAATACCAATCCTCGGCCAACTCCAACAGAATCTCCTTGTTGAAGTACGCAGTGTTGAAGAACGTCTTATCTGGCTTCTAGACCCTGACATCGCGGCGCTGTTCCTTAAACCTGGAGACTAACTTAGGACTATGCGCTTTGTCGTCGTTGTGTGAGGAGGAGAAGGAGGAGGTAGAGGAGGAGGTGGAGGAGGAGGAGGAGGAGGTGGAGGACCTAGGTGTAGCACACCAGATCTATCGGATACGCCAGGACTCCAGTTCTGTCCAGAAGAGCGAGTAGATCATGTCGCGGCCAAGCTACATCATAAAGCCCCAACACAAGTACAGGCATCGGTCCAAAATCTGACGCATTGTACCGATTCCATTCCAAGAGGATGTCGAATAAGAGGCGCGAGATGTTGTAGACAGTGTGGTCACTGCGGGCGTGGGAGAAGGTGTGGGGGAAGTTGTGGCAACTGGCGACGTTGTAGAGGGACGAGAAACTGCAGGTGGCGTAGAAGACGACTTGGAGCTTAAAGGAGTTGGGGATATCATTGCTGACGAAATCCCCGTAGAAGAGCTGGAATTGGTAGCAACTTCAACGCAGTAGCTATGGCCAATTCGGTAGTTTCCGCATTCACTGGTAAGGGAGGGGTTCTATCATCTTATCAGTTCTTCTAAATCATCCAGTCCTTACGTATGTACTTTACTGACCCATGCAAACAGTTCTTCAGTCGTGATGAGGTAGAAATACGTGAGGATACAACAAGGAAGACTGTTGTCCAGGTTGTCGTGCCAGAACGTACACGCTGGATGCGCACCCGGGTCGACGATACCAGTTGGTATCTTGTTTCGGGGACTGATCCCCGTGCTGCGCGGGCAGGCGATGGTCATGTAGGGTGGTTCGGAGGATCGCGAGAGCATCTTGTTTGTGGAAGAGTTTGAGTTGTTTTCACCTTGTGTAGACGTGGTCTCTTTCTCAAGGTATGTGAGGGACGACGGGGTATCTTGACGAGCGATGGATTCATCCTTCCCTAAGTACGCGGCACAGCCCTAGAGCAGACACAAAACTTTCATTGGTGCACAGCCGATGTCTTCCAACCAAATTGGCTGTTGCCAGACAACAGTGTTGGTTTTAGATTACGGGTAAATTCCAGTCAAGAGAAAGGCTGCAGATATAAACAGAATCATGCCACGGGTTTCCAAATCGTTCTTCCCAGACGCTTTCGACATGCAATTACCCATCAGCCCAGTCGTATCGGGCCATGTCCGGTTAGGACACTCAGCTGCTATGTTCATCACAGACTCAGCCCATCTTGTTACTCTTGCATTGATGGGTAGCGCACAAGTTTTCGTAGGCTGTACAGCAGGGTTGAGAACCTGACATTCTTGGTCCGAATTGCCCTCGGACCGCTTCTGAACCCCAACAGACCCGATCGGCTTGGCGCAGCGTCCCTTTCTCGCGAGCGCTAAAGGCCCATAGTCTCCGTCTGGGTGGATTGGTAATAGCGCAAAGAAGCTCTCTCCCTTAAACTGCACTGTTTCGTTTGAACCAGTTGCCGAGATTCCAGTTGTATTGCCGCAAGCGTACGTTAGACCAAATGTGTAGCTCAAACGAAGAAGATCCATGGTGTTGTTCCATAACTGCGAGACTGGCTCAATTATGAGAAGTACATCAGGCGACATTTCTACGCCGATGGTATCGGGGCGGCTTTGACCTGAGGCAACGACGGTGGTTGATTCATAGCCCTTGACGGTGTTAATCGCATCAGTAATGTTCCAGCTCCAGAACAAAGTGTTTTGGCCGATGGCGGAGAAGTTGTGAACCGCGAAGATGACGGGTGCTGGGTAGTAGGGCTCGATCAAGGAGTAGTTCGGAGGGAAAACGAGGTCGAATTGTACTGTGGCCGGAGGATCTTCCGTTCGAAGCCCAGTACATGCGCCTAGGAGGCACAGCAAGATTGATAATTGTTGGGCATGGCGGCGCATGATCATGCGATAGCGGTTTCGTTGTTAGGAAGGCAAGGTCGGGAAAGCGAAGCAGAAGAATAGGAATATACAACATATATGGTCGTTGTCGTTCATGCCCTTATGCGCTTGGTTCGTGCCACCAACACAGGAGTATATTGCGTGCGCTTGGCGACACCGCACATGGGCGTCCGGGTAAAGAGCGTTGCTTAGCTTCCGTTGCGTCGTCTCGAAACACTCAAAACAACATCGAACGAGCCGTATGGCATACTTCAGCGGCACAACATCGAAGTGACGGCCTCAAGTGTGTAATCGTCAACACAGGCCTTGGATCCTGAATTTTGAGAGCGTGGGCTTGTTGCAGCACCTTGTCACAGCAACATACTGTGTTGACCAGCTGTGCAACGAGCAGGCTTTCTAATATACTTCCAACTTGTAGCCAGTAGTTTAGAAGAGAACTCTAGAAGCGCATGCTGGACACACCACAGCAGATGTGAACGCAGACCAACGTTCTATAATCGAAAGCGACCGAGATCATGATCGTACATACAAACCATGGATGTGTTCAAGCCCCTAGAAAATTTATCAGATGGAGCTGAGACTCAGGCCGTCAAGAACCCCACTGGTGATACTTCGGCTTCACATGTACACCGAGTTTGGTACGAGGGCAAGCGCTCGAGGCTGACACGAGAACATGGTGCGATGGGGAGAAAATAAGGACCGAGGCGACTCGGGGTAGACGGACTACTAACAGCTTCTGGCATGCGTAATTAGGTGACGACTTTCTCTCGTGTTGAAGGTGAACTTCGGAAACGCCAAGGACCAATGCAACTCGGGGTACATGAAGCACTAATAGCTTCTGGCAAGCGTGAGTAGATGGCGAGTTTCTCTCGTGTGTAGATGCTGAGCTTCATGCTTGAAACGGAGACGAGATGCGACGGATACTGAAGTTTGGCGGCATGTACTGCTTGTCGTCCGGTATGTGATTGAGAGTGTATATGCCGCCTTCAGTAAGCCATCATTCAGACGACCACCTTACGCACGAAAGACCCTAGCCTCCACCCTAAGGCTACATCTCCAAAAGAAGCATCGTCCAAAGGCCAAGTAGCGTCGTGTCAGAACCTGCTAGCACCGGGACCGGGTACGCCGACCAAACCTGCCAATTCCAGCGTCCGGCGCAATCCGAAGCGCTTCGTATAGATCGACAAGCGCATTCAGCCTATTTCGGGACACTTGTCGCGAAAGCTCGCCATTCTCCATCCCAAAGCAGAGCGAGTAGTCTCCGCAGACAGACCGCCTGAACAGCGCCGTCGCAACTCCGGTCGGCCAACCTACATAGGACGCCGCCCTGCCAGCCGAACCCAATTTCGAGGACGTGGCTGACCGCCGATCATCGGCGCTAACGACGTTCTAGCGCCTTGGCAGATATGCAGTCGCGTGGCTAGGGTGAAGTGGCGGTGATAAGCGGCTGGGCTGGGCAAGAGATCCTGTTTTGTAGCTCTCAGGCGTGCCGTTGGTGATGCGCTTGATGGGCGTCTCAATCGTGGTAAGCTGTACGATCGGCTGGGGGAGTATACCTCGTTCGGCAGGTGATACTGGCCCCGGGTGTCACAGCGTCGGAAGCCAAGCGCAGCAACTCGAAACAAGGCAACGTAATCTGGCGCAACAACGGGATATCAGCGTTGTGTGAATAATATTGATTGTGTGAACTGGAGACTCGTATTGGGGTATCATCGCGTCGGAAGACCCAGATCGAAAGTGCGACGGTAAAATGAATCGGGGCGAAAACCACCCAGCCCGAACTGAACCAAAACCGAAAACATGATAACAAATGATTGCCCATCCCATATCTGGAAAACGCCTTGGTAATGCAACGCTATGCTATGCGATAAGCCCTTTCCTCTTTCTTCGTAAACGTATTATGTTTGCTTTGCCAGTAGAGCAAGCCGTTGCTATTGTAGTATGACATTCTCTTCCTGCTGGTATACGACGCCACTCGTGTTCTGCGCGAAGATCTTTTGTATCGGAAGTGTGAGTGCGTTCATGATGTTCTCGCGGAAGTCCATCTTGACGTTGCTCTTCTCGAACCAGTAGTGGCGGATGAGCTTGCCCTGGCAGTTGCTGACTTCGACACCGGGGAAGCCATTGGCCTCTCCACACTCAAGCTCCTTGATGTATTGCTCGTAGTCGTAGCGGATGTACTCGCCGAAAGCGGATTGCTCGTGGAAGCGGGGTTGCTTCCATTGCGAGCAGTTTGCGTAGCGGGTGTCGTCGGGGCACTCGTGCCATGCCTTGAGAATGGGCAGGGTTTGCTCGTTGTTCTGGACAATCATGAAGCCGGTGTTGGTGTAGGTGCGGTTGAAGCGGTCGGAGTTGTACTGGGGCTCTTTCGCGCTCCAAGGGTCTTTGGCCATGACGAAGGAGTGGTGCGGCTTTACGTCCCAGTGGTTGAGCATCCATTCGACAGGGACGTGCAGGAAGCGGAAAGCGGCATCGGCGTCGAGGAAGATGATGAACTTGTAGTCCTTGATGTGGTTTGCAAGTGCAGATGGCTTGATCCAGGTAGCGTGTCGGTCTTCGAATTCGCGGGCTTGTACGAACTTGTAGTCGTAGCCGTGGACAAGCGCATACGTGTAGTGGTTGAAGATGCCGCCAGAAACGTGGTTGATGTTGCGCCAATCATATTCGCCCCGTTCGTACTCCTCAGTAGATTTGAGGGGACGGGTCTCCAGATCCAGAATCAGAACGTCGCTGCCTAGGTTCTTCTTGTAGCGCGGGTTCGGTGGCAACGTGATGTGGCTGCCATTTGGTTCGCGAATGAAGGGCTCAGTCGGTGACACCTTCAGGTTCTGGTACAGTAGCTTGATGACATCGCCAATGGTCGAGTCGGTCTGCGCGCTGGCTGCAGCTCTGTAGGGTCTGTTAGCTTCCGCCGGAAAAGCATTGATTAGGCCATGGCCCTTCCATCCCAAGAACCATGAATTGACAGCACGTACAAGTTAGACTGGCCATGTGGGAAAGTCACCCGGGGTGGACTCTGCCAAGCCATGAAGGCGAAGATGAATACCAGGACACAGCCAGCGCTCACCGAGAGCGCGAGCAACGGGCTCCGACCTCCAGTCGACGGTAGCATCATCTTGGGCGGCGTAGATCCAGGAACGAGGATAGATCCAAACGAGCGACGCGAGAGTGCAGACGGAGATGTTACGATGGCGATAGGGGGTGCAGCGTGCTGTGGCAGGGCGTCGGGGGATCAGCACATTTTAAAAGACGACAGACCCGCCAGCTCGTCAGCACCAGCCAAGACGCGCAGGAGGTGGCATGGGGCGCTGGGGGCCGGCGAGATTGCGCTTGGCAGGCCCTTCAGCCTTTTGCGGTGTCCCTGCAGCCAGACGCCCCCGAACCTGGATCCACTGGCGGTGCTAAAGTGGCTTCTGGATCCCGTCTTGGGGCGAATCAGATGCTGGCCCGCTGCTGAGCCGTGAATCTTTCCAAATGGTGTTGATGCACGGTTCCTGCCGCGCTGGTAAACGGCTGGCACGGCATCACAGTGCAGTTGGCGGTCATGTGCCGTTGTGGCTGACAGCGCATCAATATAGACAAAGTCGAAGCTGTTGATATTTTCCGAGGAACAGAGGACAACTGTTGTTGTACGTGTTGGGCTCGAGGCCATTTCCAGTGCGACCGGACGAGCGAAGATGGTGGCAAAGGGTCCAAATTGGGGCGACGCCTACCAGAAACTGGTAATCTCCCCGCCTGGCTACCCGCCCCACTCGACATCTCCATCCCGCCTCCTGACATCTTCGCTGTTCCCGATAAGCCAACGCCTCCTTTCCAACATGCAGAACCACCCCGCATCCGACGCCGCTGTCTGTTGCTGTCTGAAACGAACCTGTGTCCACTGCAGCGAAGGCCGTGTTTCCTGGGCGGTGCCACAATATGCGGCTGCTGACTGGGCGTTCCGCACTTCCGTGGAGCAATCAAACGTTCGACATTGTCAGCGTCAATGCAATAAGCTCGGTGATTACTACACCTATGGGGCTACGATGGATAGCCTAGGTATCATCACTGGCCTTGATCAGTGATCATCACTGGGGCCGCTGTCTATTTCCTACATTCTCGTCGTCAGCCTGCCGTGTGGTGTCGTCGACTTGTCAAACATCGAGTACGCGACACAACTCTGACTATCGGTAACTAGCTGCACGGGTGTTCTTAACTTAAAACTGACTTCGTGACGTTGCTTTATAGACCTGATGCGGCGTAGCCTGGTGCGCATTGTATGCATGCAAACGCCAACCGATACTCAGGTCTACAGGAACTGGATGCCTGATCTGCCACTCGGGTTTTACCCATCTTAGCGCAGTGCTTGAATGGACGTCAGAGAACTGATTTTCTTGTAGGGTCTTGTTATTGATGTTGTTTGGCTGTAGTTTTCCTTCGTCTTGCGTCCGCTTTCTCGCCCATTCTCTTTGAGACGAAGCAAACTTCTCTCTCCGCTCAGTATGTATATCGGGTTGCGCCACCACTTTCCTTCTCGATTCATTACACTATAAGCCATACAACTCGGTCACAGCTACCGTGAACAATGACAGAAGTAGGCCACCACCAAATCGAACAGTCGCCGGCTCATCCTTTGCCAACACAACCTCCCGCGCCGACCAAGTCTGATCCTATCGACACCAGCAGCCAACCAAGTGGGCATGAAGAGATCCGAGCTCCCCTTGCCGACGACAGACCCGGCCGCAAGGCACGACTCGAAAGAATCCCAGAAGACGACAATCCCGGCAAAGATGTCCCCACACGACTACGCATCGCTATGTTCACCGCAGTGGTAGTCTGGGTCATACTCGCGTGCTACGAGGGCATCTTATACATCCTCGGTGCTCATCCCATCACCGCCGCGCTCGCCACGGTCTTGATCTGTACTGCGATTACTTCGTTGTCACCCTCCTTCCTTGGCAGCTCCATCCGCCTCATATGCTACGCTATCGGCTCCCTAGCAACAGTCATTGAAACAGCGGTTCACGGGGGTTATGCCCATGGCTCAGAGAGTCACTCTAGATCCTCCTCACGCCAACGTAGTTCTGGCAGCTTATCACCAAAACCAAGGCCCGCGGTCCCAAAGAAGAGTAGTCGTGTTAAGAACATGGAGATCGGGTCTTTATTGGCACGTTCTACTGATTCCTAGTTTGTAGGAGAGGCAGCGAATGAAAGGCCGGTAGACGGGTACACCTCGGCTGAACGATCTTTGGGTTCTGCGCCACGATGGAATTACGCGGGCGGATGCGTGAAGTACATCAATAGCAGGCAAAGATAATTAGGTGCTGTAGTTCAGCGCAGAAGATCACATCGTATTCAGAATTGCAAAACACTCTTTAAGCATGTATCCACAATCCCCCAGCTGCTGCGACAACACAAGAGACAGGTATGGAACACGTCTTTAACTACCACAACTTGTTTGCTTGAGTCACGCGCCCACCGCATTAGACATTGTCGCACACAACAATCACTAACACTGCGTTTGTTCCTTTACCCATTTATTCCCACCCATACATCTAGTCACCCTTGCCGTTCCAACCCCACAACAGCACTATGACATCACCCAACGCAGAACCCAGCTTCAGCCCAGAATTCCTAGCAAGAGTCGCACAGATTCTGAACCCTTGCGCGGCAACGTTTACACCACAGACACAACTCAAGTCTTCCTCAGCTAACTCGTCGGATGGGCGGGAACGACCCATACGCCAACCCACGATCCCGCCTACAGCTGAAGACCTGCGAGAAGGCAAGGCGAAGAACTTCGTGTGGCCATCATCACAGTCGAAAGACGCTAAAGGATGAATATGATGAAACTCCAGATAAAGTATAACATAGATGTATCAACATAGTAAAACCCATCACATCTCCAATCACAACCACTTATACCCTCCCTCTCCACCCGTCTGATTACTAGTAGCACTAGCCATCTCCTCATACTTTCTCCTCACCTCCGCCATCATCTTCTCCCGCTTCTTCCTCGCCCTGTTCTTTTCTCTCACGCTTCGCACTACTTCTACGATGTCATCGACGCGACTCTTTGCTGTGGTGTATAGGCCAAAACAATCGCCTCCTCTACCGCCACTAACGCTGTGGGGTTTGCTATTCACCCTGGCAGGTACGGTGGGTGCACCTCCGCCAACATCAGCGGTCGCACGTCTGCGAAGCGCGATGAGTTCCTCGAAGGCCTCGTCTGGATCGCGCATCCTGTTCACAGTGATGTGATGCGTGGCTCTGCGCTGCGGTAGTGTGGGTGAAAGACGGATGTCTGAATCCTTTCGCAACTTGTGAGAGCTTTTTTGCGCAGGAAAGGTTTGCGCACGCCGTTGTTTAGTGACAGGCAGAGGCGGTGGCACACTTTCTCCAAGAGGAGGTGTACTTTTCCTGGGTAGCAATGGCTCTTCCAAGGTGATACTTCTGCCTCTCTTGCTGCTCTTCCGGGGTATGGGCGGAGTCTCATTCCGTGGTTCTGGTACTTGCGGCAGTGATACTGTCGTGTCTTTCGGGAAGAGACTCCATCGCAGCATGGATGCGCGTGCTGGTCTATCCTTACGACCGTGCTGGTGACTCATGCGCTTTGTGTAACTGCGACGATTGGCGAGGGGCTCTGGTGCGGTTCTGGGCTCGGCGAACGTCGTTACGATCTGGAGTGAGGGACGGCCGCCTAGCTCTAGCTTGTTGTACTTGTGCGTCGGCGGTAGGGCGCTACCACGAGGTGAAGGCTTGGGCTTGCTGGGTATACGCAGGGGTGGTGGCACGGCGGAACGTGTAGAGACTTCGTCTAGCACTTTCTGACGAGGTAGGCGTGGCGCTTTACCGGTTCCCATGATCTCGCTGAAGAGATCGGCGACGGTATCGCGCTTTGTAGCCTTCGACTTGACTTCGCTGTTGGCGTTCTCTGATGTTGCGTCGCTGGAGGTTACAGGACTGAATACGTCGACCCCGCTATCTTGTACACTCTCTCGGAGGGCTATGAAGCTTCGTGGGGGTGATGAGATTGACCTCAAAGCTGGATGTATTCGGCTGGCTGGTGACCTTCCCTCCCGAATTTCGCTTCCATCTACCGCCCTCATACTCTTCGGTGAGTATTCTTGCCTCAGCTTATCTTCACGTGCCAATGTCGGCTGAATGCAGTCGTTCAGCATCCACTCCTTCTCCAGAGCGGACAGAGTCTTCCTTGTCTCACTTATCGCGGATGAAGTGGACGAAGTCTTATGCGGCTCGTCCTTTGGTGGAACCGGTGGTGCAAAAGGGTTGCGCGCCGTAGAGCTTGTCGCCGTATCGCGCTTGACATCGCGGTCGTGAATTGGGATAGCAGCCGACTCTGATCTGCGGCGTGCCTGGGAGTGAAAGAAGTGAGCGAAGGGGTTCTCCGGCTGCGGCATGGTCGCGTCGTGGTGTGAGTCACGGGAATCGGGAAGGCGGGGTTTCTGAAGTCTGCATCGATCATTCCCCATGTCGCTGACCGCAGAGAGCTACGGTGGGGATGATGAAGGGAGAATACTAGTGCTGCGGAAAGCTGATTAGCAATGAGGGTGTAAGTTTATGGGAGTCATGCCCGATGACTCAGGTATGATGACATCGGCAGGCCGAAGTGAGATGGGATGGAAGGTATGTTTTCGATCGGTAATTTCTATAAAGAGACGTGGCGATTTTCGTGCCAGTATATCGTCGTGGAATGAAAGAAAAACGCCTTAATGCTGGTAATGGCGGCGCACGGGTATCCGATACATGTGAAAGACCAAGAAAACGCCGTTAACAAATGCTAACACTCGCTGGTGTAAAACGCGATGAGCACGCTTCGGTGCTGAAGATCGCTGTATGCTGAGTGCCGGATAAAGGAAAGATGCCATAACCGCAAATTGCACGCGACATGCTCGCTGCAATCATGCCTAATCATGGTTGTTGTACAACACGCACTGACATCATGGGAAGTCCACCATATCCTAGACCTAGTAGTAGTACCACGTAAGCCTCATTCCAGATGACCAAGATTGTGCCGAGTCAAAAGCAGCTCAGGCGCAAAGTTAGTCATGTATGAAATATCAGCATCATTGGCAACGTGATGAGCGGTCTCCTCCAGATTGCCAAATATCGCCTCCATATCATCTTGCGATATGTCTTCCATCTCTTCATCCTCATCATCGTCTTCGTCTTCATCGATTTCGATGTCGTACGGGTGTTTCGGTTCTTCCTGTTCCGCTGCCTGTGTTGAGGCCTCCCATTCTTCGATGTCGGCGCCAGAGAAGAACGATCCTTCATTCGGGTGCTCCATAGACCCTTCGTCGTCGGTAGTAGTATCGGAGTTGAGATCGAACGACGTCACCGAAAACATGTCCAGATCTTGGAATGGTGAACAAATCGAGGAAGGAAGAGAAGATGGCGTCCGGGGAGTGTAAGCATCGTCCGAGCAAGCGTTGGCCATGACTTCGTCATCGACACCTAAGGTGGTCAGATGAGAGCTTGAAGAAACGCCAGTGAGAGACCTTTCCATGCTGAGTGGGTCCATGATAGCATTGCTGCCACCCACGAACTGGAATCGAGTGCCGTATCGTACGTGAAGGTCTTGGGCGATACCGGGCGCAAACCAGACTTTGTGGAGATCGAGGCGCAAAACTTTTGCCACTCCAGAATCGAGCAGTCGTCGCAATGAAACCGTGATGGGATGGTTGGCGTGTAATACGGAGTCATCGACGCGTGAATTCGTAAGCCTTGATAAGGAGGATTGAATGCAAATTTCCAGGTCCTCGAAGGCTGCGCCGATAGTAGCTAGTGATGCTATGGTATCAGCGATCTTGCGCTCTCTTTCCGGATTCGTTCTCCCAATCGTGGCAGATACGTTGAGTCGACTTAGGAATCGAAGGTACCTATCGGCGATAGGAGGAAGCACGGTGGCGCTAGCGTTTATAGGCGACGACGGGGCGACGGTGCTGATGGGATTGTTCTTGTAGAAGTAAGAAGTAGACTCTAGATGCACCTGGTGTGAGACGGTGAAGAGTGCAAGAGAGTTGTGAGTTGGCTGCTGAGTATGACGATCGCGGAGAAGCTGATCGTATACCATGTTGCGCAACTCTGCCGGGAAGTCGTCAAATCTTGCCATGGCGGCTACAAGGGGGTTGAGTATTTGTCGCGGTCGATTAAAGTATGTGTGAGAAAGATGCAATCGGATCGGTGACTGGTGATGTCCTTTGACGATGTACCTGTTTCAGGTGGCGCGATGTGGGGTGGGTTTAGCCAACGCACGACAGGGGTGAAAGCATGCGCTAATCGGGAGCACTAGGATTCACCAGGTAGAATGCCGCGATCAGAGGGTGCAGTCGTTGAGGTACAATGTCGTGCGGAAGAAGCAGGTCGACTGTTGCTTTGTGTGGCGTGCGGGGTGCAGTCGTGCTTGACGCGACAGCGCGGGAGTTGAGCAGCTTTTATGTGCGTGGTGGCAGTGCGATGAGGTTGGAATCAGCGAGGACAGTGCGGCAGGTTGAGCTGTTATGCGGCTTCCGAAGACTGATCTACGCTAGCGTGCACACGTGAATGGCTTGGGGTCTGGCGGCTGCACAAAGCATTCAAGGGGCAGGTATACTCGCTAAGCCGCCTTTACCATGGAACGGGACTCTATATGTACTCCCCCCACCACACTTGATGACTCCACGGTTCCACGCAAATCGACATAATCTCAAATCGCAGCAGCCTGATAGGATGTGCCGCATGCCGCTGGCCTGTTCTGGAATGAAGGCCGTCAGGGCTGAACGCTTTCTTTACTACTATATATTGAATGCGGAGGTATGCGCTGCATGCTGCGTTGGGTTTGCAGCCTACATTAAGAGGAAAGCTTGCCAAGTAGATGACCTAACGTCAACGTAGGCATCATAGCGTCAGGTTTTTCTTCGAATGAAGTGTTGCCAGAATATTGCGATGCGCCAATCGGGAAGCGGGATATAGCAGGCGTATGAAAGGAGCATAGCACAGCCGCCCTTTCTGCCTTGAGGCTTCCTCGCTCTTGTCTGCTACCTGAATGGACGGCCCAACAAGGTGCGCTCCACACGGCGATTATCCAGCATGACTGGAAAGTCACCATCGCCGAATGTGTATTGAGGATGGTGGGGCCCGCCCTTTGGCGACCTCAGCGCCGAAGCAGCATGCATTCAGCATGATCTCCCGTAGCGATCTTGCGGCATTTACCAGCAACAACCGGCTTCCCACTACTCGAGCGATATATATCTGTCCGAATGCGCTCGTATGAGCTAGGTGTATGAGACCGATGCGTCAGCGGCAAGCGAAAAGGACTCGATCGTGCGTTCCCGGCGGCGGAGCTGGTAGCTAGCGGAACAGGAACAGGACAAGCGCGTGTCACCCGGTCAGGGTTTCACACCATACGCGCACACTGCCAGCGAAAGAGGAAGCAGGTGTCGTTGGCATATGGGCAGATCGCGATTGGGGACAAGGAGGATGAAGGCAACCATGGCACGCGTCGTGAGGTGACGTTTCGCGGTGCCCGCGTCAGGATATTCCGGCGCTAGCTTATCGATAAGATTCCACGTGACGTCGTCTTCGTCCACGCGTGCCCAGGTGTCTCAACACGCACCTGGTGATGCATCGTCCTTCAGCATCTCGATTGCCTCGTGTGACTCAAAAGCGGGCCGGCGCATGATCTAGCCGATTACCACGTCCCGCACACCATCTCCGATGTGACTCACGCCCTTACTCCCGAGGTCCCCTGACTGTTCAATCGCTGGTGGGTATGTTCAGCGACACGACGTCATCGACATGAGCCGTCAGTGCCACGCCGCAACTGTACAGACGATGTTGCGGAGTTTTAGCTATGTTGCATGTGCTGTCGGTAGGAAGCCGCTATCAGCTGCGGAGGTTTCACACAAGAGCAGCTCATAATACCTAGGTATACCTACGCCTGCATCGAAGAGCTAGATGGAAACGGTGCAAGGATCCGATGAAGGCCGTTGACTGCCAAAGTCTACTGTGAGCTATAGGCAATAGCGTCTCCTATCAATTCTCATCGGATATACGGGTCGTGTACCCTCTGGCTGGGCAAACACGGATCAAAAGAGCTAGAACCTTCTCCAGGGCAACAAGCTACTGAAGAGTGTTGAGCTTGTCGACATCTGGCCGCAACGAGAACCCATACGATATGGGGCACGATATACAAGATCGGGGACAGATCTGTTACGACGCACCTGCTGATGATAACGATCTCATTATGATACGTCACATAGGCTCGTCAATCGACACACTACCCCTCATGATAAGTAAGGGGGTTCACTGCTTTTGCGACCACCATTCACACATACAGCGGTTAAATCGCGACTTCGTCCTTCACTCATCGGCGAAGGTTCACGCCGTGATAGCGCTCGCGCCGCGGTTGACGCGATACTGCCAGCATTGGAACCTCCCCATCTATAAGAAGAGCCTGTACTACCTCTCTAAAGACAATCCATCACACCAGTCTGAAAGAGTTCACACCTCAATTGAGCAGAAAACTATCAGAACTTATTCCAGTAATAGACACCTACTATGCACTTCCTCACCCTCATCACCGCCTTCATGGCCACAACTGCCATCGCAGTCCCTACATCATCGGTCCTACGCCCCGATGTCACTGCAATTGACGCCGCAGTCGACGCAGCCGTCGCGGCCGAAGCCGCCGACGGAAAACCGCTCTTATGGTGCTACATCTGCGCACTCTGGTACGAGCAATGTCTCGATGTAAGTGACCTACAATCCGGAGTCTCCTAATTTACTTTCTAATCAACACTAGACACAAGCTACCCCCGATATCTGCAGGTGCTTGACAGCTTATTACGGCGACGGTAGATGTCGTACCACAGACTGTGGGTTTAGTTGCTAGAGAAAGGGGTGGGGAGGTTGTTGCCGGAGCATCGACTTCACATGGGTAGTTTCTTCATGTTGAGTATCACGCTTCCAGCGTATTGAGTCTAGAGAATGAACTTCTTCAAAAGATTGGCAAGCTTCTCCGGTTGCTCAAGTGCCAAGCTATGCCCACACTCCTCAAACACCTCCGAAATATGCACCTTTTCAGCAGCAGACTCCATCTGCTCCTTAACCAGCGGGCCGAAAAACCTGAAATTGTCAGCATCAAGCCGCATCAACACACTGCATCATCAGACTCACTCCGGCGCCCCAACAGTCATAACACAACACCTCAACTTCCCCCCCGTCAAAATTTCCTCCTCAACATCCACATTAACCCAATGCGCCCTATAACTCTCCAACACACCCCTCAGCCCCCCCGGCGCCTTCAAACACCCCACCCACTCATTCACAGCCACCTGATCCAGCGCACTAGGATTATAACACTCCGCCTTCATGAAATGCGTCCAGAACTCTTCTTCCTTCCCCTGAATCAACATCT